AGGAGACTTGATGGAAAAATATCGAGAAAAGAATGACTTCTATATGGTGTGTATTGACCTTGAGAAGGCCTATGATAAAGTTTCGAGGGAAGTGGTGTATCTGTGGCCTATGAAGCGTGGGTAAAAACCGTGGGAGGAGACTCGGAGCACTTCCTATGGAGATGGGGTTACACTAGGGGTCAACCCTTGGTTAGTTTCTATTTGCCTTTGTGATGGATGTATAGACTCGAGGCATTCAAGATGTTGTGTCGTGGTGTATGTTATTTGTGGATGACATAGTATTGAATGATGAGACACGCAGTGGAGTGTATTCTAATAAGAGGTGTGGAGGCAGACTTTGAAGACTAAAGGGTTTAGGCTTAGCAAGATTTAGATAGAATATGTGGAGAGCAAATTCAATGATGCGATGCATGAGGTAGGCGTGGAAGTGAGGCTTGACACACAAGAGGGACAAACTTAAGTATCTTGGGTCTATGATCCACGGTAGTGGGGACATCGACGATGATATCACACATCGTATTGGTGTGGCGTGGATGAAGTGAAGGCTTGCCTCTAAAGTCTTGTGTGATAAAAAAGTACCTTGAGAGCTACTGCATAAGAGAGGGGGTTTTACCCTATGCACACCCAAAGGTTAGCGGTTGTGCGTTTTCCTTATCATAAGAAAGTTACCACTGAACCTCAAAGGTAAGTTTTAGAAAGTGGTAGTTAGACCGACATTGTTGTATGGGATGGAGTGTTGGCCAGTCAAGAACTCCCATGTCCAGAAGATGCATGTTGTGGAGATGAGGATGTTGAGGTGGATGTGTGGTCATACTAGGAACGATAAGATTAGAAATAAGAGTATCCAAGATAAGGTAGGTGTAGCCTCTGTGGTGGACAAGATTAGGGAAGCAATACAGAGATGGTTTGGACATGTGAATAGGAGATGCATAAACTCGCTAATGAGAAGGTGCGAGAGGTTGGTTATAGAAGGTGCGAGGAGAGACAGAGGTAGGAGTATTTATGAGAGGTGATAAGGCAGTACGTGACCCTAGATTGGAGGGTGTGTAGGACACGTATTAGGGTAGAAAGGTATTAGGGTAGAAGGGTAGTAGGAAGTGTAGTGTTGTCTTTCTTAGGGTGGCTAATTGTTTTTGATTGTCCTTAGAAGAATAATCTATCCTAGTATGTTGTTTATGGTATTTTGACTATCACATCATTATATTGTTGTTTTTGGCTACTTTTGCATTGTTCCTTGTTATTTGCTATTTTCTCTTTATTGTCTTCTTCTTTTTATACCGGGATTTGTTGCACTTGAGCTAAGGGTCTTTCGGAAACAGCCTCTCTACCTCCACGAGGTAGTGGTAAGGCATGCGTACATTATACCCTCCCCAGACCTCACTTGTGGGATTATTGTGTGATTTCACTGGGTATGTTGTTGTTGCTGTAATGAACTCAATTTGAATGTAACAATAACCAACTTCTCAACTATTATAATAAGACTAGGGTTCAATTACAAATCTAGTAACGAAATGCAAAAACTCAATTAGCAAAAGCCCAAACAGAAATATTGAACGTAAGAACTAGGGATTGATAGAGCTAGAAGGGAGATGAGAAGCTTAGACTTATAGAATGGAGATGAGAGGAATCAGACTCTTTACTCAACAATTTGCTTCAGCCTATTTTCCCTGGAATGTGCTATTTATCAACCTGGATCCCACACATAACCCCTTAATATTGTATTGGGCTGTTTTGGTATATCTGGTCTCGGCCCATTCATAACAATACCACTGACTCCAATAAGAACCCTGTCCTCAAGGTTCGAGTAAGCATGAGCATCCACTGGTACAGTTAGATTGGTAAGCAACAACGAAGCAACTTGGTTGGCAGCCTGGAGTATTATAGACATGGTTGCATCAGTCTTGCTCAGTAGCTGATTAAAATGGCAGAGATGTGTACTAATGTGAGATGTATCCAAAAGAGCAATACACCTAATGATATCGCCCAAACTTGTCGAAAGACCAATACACCTAATGATATCACCGAAACTTGTTGAAGCACTATTGGCAGCCACATTAAGGATCTTTATCATATTTTCTAGCAGCACTTCACTCAGATGGCTAATAGGAGATGTAATGCCCTTGTCATTACATTCTTCCTTAGCATTAATCCATTTTCTATCAAATGAAATATTCCCATAAGTGACCAAAATGTAGGTAGTAGTGTCAGATAACGGGATGCTGAGAATTTCATCAAGGTTACTGTTAGGATCAAAAGGAGGTCCAAGAGCACTTGAAATATGGTAAAGATGACACTTCATAACATGCTCAGACTCGTCGAATCTAGAATTATTCACCTCGAAGTACTGAGCAACAGTTGTTAAAACTCTCCTTCCACCAAATCTCTCCACTAGAACTAAGACATGATGTAATCTATGGCGTGCAGTCGACTCTACTATCTCTATGACTTCTTAAAGTGTGTAACTAGCAGAGTGCAGAACCTTCACCTTATATACACTCCTTAATACTTTTACCTCCCATACCTGTAACATGCCAACAATAGCAGTGATATAGTGAAGATGCAAGGCTGATGTTTGCTGGAAGTTGGCCAAGAAAACAACATGTGTAATTGCATAATATTCAGCGAAGACTAGTGAATATGCAATTAAAAGACATGTTAATGCAGTGCAGTTATTGACAACAGAGAACCCCTTGAACCAGGACTTTACACTGCCTAGTTGTCCGGGATCCCACACTCTACTCATACGATTTGAATACGCAAATAAGAGAAACGTGTCAGTACATCTCAACAATAGTAGTTCCTTCACGTTCTCTATATAACCTGTAAGAGCCATGAACCCGAAACATATGCCCGGATCCCATACACAAAGATCCACTGTAGTTAACGGAATGGTTACAATAAGCATAAGAAAATTAGCAGCAGGATCAAATGGAAATTGACTCAAAATATATTGACCATTAAATCCCCCAATAGATTTTCCATTTTCAGCGGCAGAAAGCAATCCCACAGAATGCATAGCACTTGTCGATATGGCACTCTCATTCTCCAAAAAATATTTATCAAGAAATAAATCTTCCGTACCCACTCTAAAGGTCTCTATATCAGTTTTCCATTTACGAGAGCCACTACTAAGAGAGTCAAGAAATACATACCTCGTTGGCATAGCTTGTTTGAGATGTTCATTCGCCATCATAACTTCACGACCAACAAGAGGAACTAACAGTGGTACCCCAGTCACAATTGGATATACTATGTCATTAATTCACAAACGCGTATTCGACATCATAGTTCCCTTCTTAGAAAAAAGAACCAGAGTACCAGATGCATCCCTTTGAGGAGATGTGTCAAACAAAGCTACAGTATCTGGTGAATTTTCCTCCACATTATTAGATCCTTTCGTATCATTTAACACCGAAGTAGGGACCTTGGTTTGCATATTAACATATTCGCAGAATCTATCGTTAGGTTCAGGAATGTCAGAGCTTACAATTGTGTGTAAAATTTCATCGAACACCTGACCTTTTGTAATGGAAGAAGGTTCCTGTACCAAATCTGCTCCGACTGATTTTGCATTCCCAATTTGAGGAGTTCCCATGCCTTCAAGAGTCACAATCTCAGCATTACTTCCAGTAAGCAATGCCAAGGAATCCACATTGGTATACTTCTCAGGCAATGTCTCGAGAATATGGTCTGCCTTCGTGTTCCCACTTGTGAAGGCATCTTCCAAGTCAGATGATTGTGTAACGACTTAAATCTACATCTGCAGAGGCAGAGGTTGTCGGAGGAACAAATGTAGCATAGCGCACATAGTCAAAATAGGCGCGTGAAGTATCTGCCATACTCACCGAAGCTGTGAAGGTTCGTTGGGGAAATCGAATAAGCAATTTTTCCGTAAAATGCTTCCAATCAAAGAATTGCTTGTTACGATGCAACCAAGTAAACCAAATAAGAGCTTTACCATCAAGGTAGAAGTAAGGAAGAGGTAGCCAGTCCTTCTTGGAGAAGCCAAGGCAGGCAAAATACTGCTCGGCCCGAAGAATCCAACCCACTGGGTCGTTGCCACCACTGAATCGATCTAATACCACCATTACAATTTGGAATACAAACAATGAAAGCACCAATGTAATGAACTCAATTTGAATGTAACAATAACCAACTTCTCAACTATTATAATAAGACTAGGGTTCAATTACAAATCTAGTAACGAAATGCAAAAACTCAATTAGCAAAAGCCCAAACAGAAATATAGAAATATTGAACCTAAGAACTAGGGATTGATAGAGCTAGAAGGGAGATGAGAAGCTTAGACTTATAGAATGGAGATGAGAGGAATCAGACACTTTACTCAACAATTTGCTTCAGCCTATTTTCCCTGGAATGTGCTATTTATTAACCTGGATCCCACACATAACCCCTTAATATTGTATCAGGCTGTTTTGGTATATCTGGTCTCGGCTCATTCATAACAGTTGCTGACTGGCTTTTCTCTTTTTATTTTTTATTTAAGTTGTTTCTCTTTTTTAATTTCTAAGTTTTTAGTTATTATTGTTGTTAAGGAGGTGAGTTATAACTTAGGACGTAAGTAGTTTAATGGGTTGGGTTAGGTAATTTAATTGGTTACTTGTTTTAAATGGGCGAAGCCCCAATTCTTTAAGTCATTACATTTATTTAGCTTGTTTTTTGTTAAATACACTAACATTGGAGGGCAAATGGATGGGAACTTGAATTTTTGTGCTTTTAAAGTTCTAGTGACTGCAAAGAGAAGCCGATCAAATGAAACATCAAACTATATTAAGTTTTGTTAAACGATTGGGAAGGTCTAATTAAATTGACCCTAAATTTTGTTACAATAGCGTGCCCAATCTATTTTTTAGCTTGTTAGGGTTGCAAGAAATATGAATCAACTTTGTATACTATTGGTGCTTGATTTTCTACTGACTGACTTCTGTGGATGAAGTTTGTTGACTAATCATACTGATAAAAGCTGTCACTATGTACAGGTTTGACTGTGGTATGTTCATGCTCAAGTATGCTGATTTCTACAGCAGAGATATAGGACTCTGTTTCAGTCAGGTAAAACAATGTACTGGAATACTCTTTTTGCAGCTCTGGATGAAAATTGAAAATGATGAGGCTAACGGTTCAAAACCGGGTTTTGAGTAGGAAGGGGAACACGTGTGTGTGTGTGTACATACATATATGTATTGCATATGTACAAACACAACACACATGCAATATATATGCGTGCGTATATGTTTTGGGGGTGGGTGGTTGGGTTATTATACCAAAATATTTCCACTTTAGGTTTCTTGATTTTAAGAATATGACTTTTGATCTTCCTGTGCTATGTTAGAATGCCAATAACTCTCCAAGAGCTGTGTATAATTCACTGGTTCTCTTCTCTCACTCTCTCTGAAAACTCTCACTTTGTTTCCATGTTCACCAATTTCTTGGCCATGAACAACTTCCTTGTTTGCCCATTCTTTCGTACATGTTAATACTTCTTTTGGGTTATAAAGAACTCCATCTCTACCATTGAGATGAAAATGGTTGTAATTTCTTTCTTAAGCAAGTGCTAGTACCAAGCAGCTGGCTTGTCCTAACTTTTAGAAGCTTAGTTTTCCTACTGCTCACCTTGTTCTTTGTGATAGAAGTGTTTTCTTGTTTTCCCTTGTGGACAATGATTTTTGTTTTTGCTAATATGTTTTTAAGATACCTAGGGACCTGGGTGGTGGTAGCTGGTGTAGTCCTTGTGACTGATTTTTTGCAAGAAACATGCTTATTGAAACTATAGATAATGTTGCCCTTTCCTTGTAGGAGCACATGCCATATTTCAGGTCTAGGACTGTCAAGGAGATCTTAAGGTTGAAAGCTGAGTAAAAAACCTGAACATGCTCTTTGCTGCAATTTCAAATATCCCGTGTGAGCAACAGAGTGGACTATGGAGTTTGTTGGAATGATTGATGCATTGCTAACAATTTCCTGAAGGCCTTGTCTGATTTGTATATTTGGTGGTTTGACTGTCTAATGAAGACATGATTTTGTAGGTTGAGGTTTGAAGGGCTTTAGTTTCTGTTCTTAATTGTTTCCTTTTTAGGTAGGTCTTTAGAATTCTCAGATATAGCATCCAGCTGTCTTTTGGAGAAAGCTTAGAACAATTGAGGAATTCCTTACTGACCATTTAACTTTCTCTACTCATGAAGATGGACTGGAAAGCAAGCTCAAAGTTGTAATGTATGAAATTGTTTCTTTCTTCAGTAAAGAGGAAGTTCAAGATTTCTGTTGTTTGATCTGTTTAAGTATGCATAGGCATGTGTTGCACACGTTGGGGTTACATTCTCATCACCAGGAAAGGTTTATTCAGTTTATATTTCGTGTTGTCAAGCTTGCATCTTGGTTGGGTTCAATTTGTTTCTCATTCCAAAAGTCAGAAGTAGAGAGCTCTCTTTTTTGAAATGTTTATGTTTTTTCTTTCCTTGAATCCAAGGATTTTTCAACGTTTAAGTTTGATCAGTTAATATCATCCCTTTTGCGATGAATAATTGGTCACGGACTGGGCATATTAGCAGCGAGTGGGATGAATGGAACTGATGAACTAGCTTGAATATTTGCTGAAACACAATGAAGTATCATATAGCAGTTAAAGTGAAACTGATGAGGATGCTTGATTGCTGAAACACAAGGAAAAATTCTAAATGTTTTGGATATAAGAACAACAAACAGTAAACGCTAAAGTCGGAACAGACACTAACAACAACTGTTCTATGCACAAAGTATATCAATTCCATTGTCGATTATAAGGCTTTTCTTTTCTTTTCTTTTCAGCTGCAACCACTTAAGCACTGAGCAATACAGTATTAGCTGGAATAATACATTCCTGATAAGTGATAACACAGTAACATATACAGACTACTGTCCATGGTGCCAATTTAGAACTCTGTGCCGTTCCTTCACCAGAGAATCCGGAGAGATTTCTTAAACTGTAACTGGAGCAGCATGGTACAAAAGCAATGTTAAAACAAGTTGTTTGTGCAAAAGCTCGGAAGAGGCCACCATTTTTTTCCTCTTTAAGTAAATTTGCTCAATGGAACTTCTTGATGGTTTGTGTACACATTTGGCACAAGAGGAATAAGATATTTCTTAAAATAATTACAAAAGAGAGAAGTAAAAAGAAAGTAGAAATAGGCGTCTCTCTGATTGCATCCATGTAACTTGTAGCCTAGCGTGGTCCCCTCTTTCGACTCAGTATTTCCTGCTCTTTCAATCGATGCTGGAACCTGGCAAGGCGAGCTTGGAGGCTGACCAGACTTGCTGCTTTGCGTGATAGAACAAAGCTCAGCTGTGTGACATAATTATCGATGAGACTACCAGGTTGATCGACTTCAGCCAACAAATTCATTTCCTGGTAGTGGAAGGCAAAATGTATTAATCATCTCAAGCACATCACTGACGGTCTCATTTATTTCTTCCCAACATAATTTATTTATTTTTTAATTGGTTTTGTTTATAGGAACTCGAGGGTATAATAGAAGTTCACACAATACAATGATCACTGAAAATATCATCACTAGACAAACAGAAAAAAGAAGTAAAGATGGACAAAAATTTGAAGCTGTGCTGTTTCCAGATAAATGTCACAGAATCACTGAATTTCTATTTGTGGCAAATAAGGTAAAATAAGTGATGAATTTTCCTACTGCCCTCATAGATCTGATTTAAGCTATGTTGCTCGGACTCTTCAAAAATGTCGACGGGTGCGTGTCGGATCCTCCAAAAACAGTGTATTTTTGAAGGATCCGACATGGGTGCGGCAACATTTCTGGAGAGTCCAAGCAACTTAGGATCTAAGGAACCATAGCACACAAAAACACGGGAAGATGGTAGGAAGAAAAATGGGTGAGCAAAGGTTTTAACCAAAAAAGGGTGAAGTACATTTCATGCTTTCAAGCGAGCATGAAAATCTTATAGACATGGGATCACCCATGACTTGTGTTGCTTCACAGATAAAAGCATCTAAACTCTTGGATGAATGGACATCGCATCTAAAATAAATACCAAAAAAGATTCAAGAATTTAGATGACTAGGGGAAATAACACAGTTGACAACTACTATGCATGTCACTGAAATAGAAGAAATTTCCTGGCAATGCACCAACAAATATTCCTAGGTTTTGAAAGGAGTTAAGTTTAAGAATGTTATTGGAGATTTTGCTTACTTCACGAACGATCTCCATTGTATCTTCAATTTCTTTTCTATGGGCAGCTATCAGGGCCTCTTCTTCCTTCACACAGAAGGAAAGAAAATTAGCAGATGCCAATGGGGAGTTCATGACAGTTTTTCAAGTAGAGAAACAAATACTGCCCCTCCTCAATAACCAGAAAAAAAAGAAAGAAATGAAAGCATAAAAAAACAATGCAAATGGTAATAAATGCAAAGGGTAACAAAGTGAAGGCAGAGTGTATGCTAACCTCCAGTATCTCATTGATATTGTCATCACGAGGGGGTGAATTAAGTTCATTTTGTCTTGTTCCAATACTTTTTATGTTGGAGCTATTTGTACTTTGTTGTTTGTAACTTGTAGACAATGAGTCTGCGCTTGAAACATCAATTCTTGACCCGTTTCCTGGCCTTTCTGGCTTTTCGGGTTTCTCATCTCTAGAAACACTCCTCCAAGGTGGAGACACTTTCTGCACCTTGTCTTCTGTATCAGCTGAACTTTGCATGTTTGGTGTTGGGTACATTTTCTGACCAGCTGGAACACGATAGCTATTCTTCATTTCAAACTTGTCCCTCTCCAGACCAGCAGAATTTGTCCCACTTTCTTCCCACCCAGTGAAGGTATGAGTTGAAGCAAAACTAGAGGTTTGGTTGTGCTCACTAGAGGGACTGTAAGATGTACTTTCTCTCTCCATCCTTCTACTTACTTCTGATACTTTTGACTCTTGAGGTTGCTCACTATCATCTTCTGCCTCAGTGGAAGCAACCAAAGTTGGTGCAGAAGAAGGTTCCTTCATCATCGGGAGTATTCTGCCTGCATTCTGATCCTTTTTTGTATTTCCACTTTTAGATAGACTTTTAACCCTGTTGATCAAATGTCAATAGGCTGCAATACATAATAAACGAAAACAAACATTCAACTCATACAATAAAAGCGACGGTACCTGTCTGCATATCTTAATGTGTTGAGTGTGTGTTCACATGATCCAGCATTAGGAGAGATGCAAGAAATCATAACAGTTCTTGAGTTGCCAACGAAGGAGTCACGAAGCACCTCAGTAAGTTTGCTCCCACGGAATGGAATATGGATCTGGTCATTGTCAAGAGCACGAATACACTCTTTAAGAGCCAACAAGCTCTTGTTAATTTCTGCTCCCTCAATCCTGGAAACAAATGAAAATGTAGGTTCAAAATAGTACTTTAGCTACCAGCATCAGGGCATGTAAACTGCAAGTGATTTGGCCTCTTTTTCCCTGTTTTGGAACAACTGTTAGTAGGATGGGTATTTTTGAGCTATTTGACTGGTTGGAGAGCATTTTTGTGCCAAAAAATACAATGGAGGGTACATCTGACCTATTTCGAATAGTTCAAGGGCATCTTTCACCCTTTTCCCTACAAAAATCTTTTATATATACTATGTCATGAAATTTCAAACAAAACTTTTAGGGAAAAATACTTTACTGTTTAAAGTCAATACTTGAAGCCAGGGGCGGAGCTACCCTTGCCCGAGGGGTGTCACGCGACACCCCTTCATCGGAAAATTACGTTGTATAGGTAAGTCAAATTCTGATTTTATACCTATATATATTAGAATTGACACTCCTGAACCAAGTTGAAGTGTTGGTTCAGCGGTTCAGGGGCTGCAAAGTTCCGCCTTGTCATTGATCTAGGCGTTGGGAGTTCAAACCTTGCTAAAGCCTATTTTTTTTTAAAGGCTTTCAGCGTTTTTTTTTAACTTTTTAGACAACTTGTGTGCATACTACTTTATATTTTGACACCCCTCAATCTAAATCCTGGCTCCGCCACTGCTTGAAGCATCATACTTCATGGCGTCCTTGCTTGCAGTAATAATGAAAAACCATAGGCTTGGTCTTCAGGACATCAACTTCTATTTATTCCACACTAAAAAGAACGCCGAGCATCAAGATGTGTGTCCCATGAAAACTTACCTTGTTTGTCGGTCATTATCAGTGGTGTCTGCACCTCTCTCACTTCCTGCAAGATCAATAAAGGAAATCTTCCCGATCACTTTGCCACCCTTAGAATCATTTCCATCATTATTTCGCCTGGAGTCCTTCACCTCATTGTGCTTCTTGACAACCAGCTGTAATATTGCGTGTGACCTTGATGATTCCTCATTTGCACCAGTGGAACCTGTACTCCTAGCAGCGTTTCCCCTCACGATATATTCTTTCACAATCTGCACATCTGAAACTTCAAATTCTTGGAGTCCAACAATGCAAACCTGTTGTCGGCCATCTTCCCTCATACAGAGTTTCCTGCATAAAAGTAATGGAGTTAATTTGGTAAAACTTTGATAAAAGAAAAAAAAAAAAAAAGTGAGACATGAGGCTATAAATTCATGAAACTAACTATGTGAAGATTTCACATTATCTACAAGCTGGATGGCCCAGGACAAAAAAGAATGCAATATGTGCATACACTCTGCCACACTGAGCTCTTAGTTTCTGTAATTTCATACGGTACGAAAATAAAGTAAGAGATGCCCCAATCTCATGAGTCATGACTCCATATTGTATAACAGAGACCTACTGAAAGGCTCTAGGTTAGAAAACAAGAAACACAGAAAAATTAATCCAAAGTTTTTAGATTTATATCTCAGGCATGACATCTACTCAGTAGTCTCTCTCTCTCTCTCTCTCTCACACACACACACACACACACAAAATATATATATATGTTCATATGCATGCTTTTTTGATAAGTAATAGGTTGCATATTGACGTCCCACATAGAAGGATAAGAGAAATAGATGTCCCACATAGAAGGATAAGGATACTAACTTTCTATCACTGAGAAGATCGAACAGTTTACCACCATATATTTCAAAAAAACTAAGCCACAACTTAAATTTCTGGCTACGATACACTGGCTGATGCAACAATCTCATAAGATCTTCCGCAGCTCTAAGAGGCAAAGGTTGCATAGTGTACGTCTTACCACTCCCTGACATCAAAAAAAGAAAGGAAAAGGACATAAGTGAATTTGAAGATAACCAACTACGCAGATGCTGAGAGTAACAGAAAACAAACCAATAGCAGCAAGAAGAAATACAAATTCAATAGTTACAGGCTTATAGAAACTTCCATTAATACACTCACAAAGAGAAACCAAGGTAAACATAAAAAATACAATGGCTTGGTGTCATGTGGTCCATTTCTGACCATGGAAGAAGGAAGTGGAAGCTGTAATAGTCCCATGCGTACATATTATAAGAACTTTCCCCTCTTGAAAACTGACTAATCTTGAAACAACCTGTCCTTTTCCTTTTCCCTATGCTGAGGAAGCACCAACAAATCAATCCATCGAAGTTCCTATTGACATACATAAAAAGAAGAAAAGGACTGACCGACCGCTGTTCAAGAGAGATCCCGAAGGCTCAAACTTTTTGCTAGTTTGAAACATGGGCCGAAGGAAAGAGGAAGATCAAACAAAGTCGCGGCGATTCCCCACTTTCCATTGAAGTAGGGGGGGTCCTCCTTCCCCACAATTCTGGCCTTGATGCTGAGTCCTTTCAGACCCTATTCTCTGAATGGACAAAGAGCAGGAAGTAAAGCATCCGCATCTAGGAGGGAAGTTCAGGGGTTAGAGTGTGTTTTCGAAAGGCTAGAAAGTTTGACGTATATAGATATATAGTGAGTGTGCATGCGGGGTGTAGGTATACCACTTACTATGATGCCATAAATATTAAAGAAGGGTCGCCAATGATTATTCCTTCAACTCCAGAAGGAAAAATCATTCCAAAGGATTTCCCCTCGTGCATTCAATAACTCACTGTTCTAATGAGCATCTTTTGACCAAGCAGGTCAAACAAGACCAGACCTAACTATATTTTGCACCTACCAGTTAAGAATTTAAAGGTCCATTTCATAAATTTGCACTGGTCATACAAACAAGATTAGATAAATGAGATCACGACATAACTCCAAATTGGAAAAATCTCAACATGATTTTTAAGAGCTCCTTCATCTTGGATCTCATCTGCCAAGCTTGTTTCCCTTCTGTTAAAGAATGACAAAAGTCCCACATCGGTGGTTAATGAGATGGGTGGACTCCTTATAAGGCTTGGGCAATCCTCCTCCCTTTGAGCTAGCTTTTGGGGTGTGAGTTAGGCCTAAGACCTAATTTAACATGGTATCAGAGCCTCTACGAACTTGGTAGAGAATTAAAGAGCTTCCGCTGCCAGCGGGTGGCACCCATATATGTTGCCCGTCTGGCCAATGATTATGTTAGCAAAAGTTGGGTCATCGTGCATCATTCTAGTGACTTCTTTCTTATATCTAATTTGTGTAGCACCGTGCCATCATTCCGGTGACTGCTTTTTCATATTTAATTTGTGTAGCACCGTGCCATCATTCTGGTGACTACTTTTTCATATCTAGTTTCTGTAGCACTGTGCCATCATTCCAGTGACTCCTTTTTCATATATAATTTGTGTAGCACCGTGCCATCCTTCCGGTGACTACCTTTTTTTGCATATCTGATTTGCGTAGCACTGTGCATCTCTCCGGACTACTTTTCATATTTAATTTGTGTAGTACCGTGGATTTTTCCGAACTATTTCTCATATCTGAGTAGCATAGCATCATGTGTCTTTTCAGTGACTCCTCAGATTTGATTTGCATAGTTCCATTCGTCTTTCCGGTGACTCCTTAAATCTGATTTGCATAGGGTTGTGCCATCATTCCAACCCTACCCGTATAATTTTTCTTTTTCAGTAAGGTCATGCCGTCATTCCGACCCTACCCATATTATTTTCCTTTTTCAGCAGGGTCGTGCCATCATTCCGACCCTACCCATATTATTTCTCTTTTTCAATAGGGTTGTTCCATCAATTCGAACTATCCTATATTATTTCTATTTTCTAGTTGGGTTGTGACATCATTCTGACCCTACCCATATAATTTTATTTCTTAGATTGTGACCACTTTTAGCCATCAAATCTAATACTCCGACATATGAGCATGTTCTGGCCAGTTTTTCGGTGACTTGTTTGATATCGACTCGTCTATTGATTTCAACATGATCCATATACTTTATACTAGATTTTGAGCACTTACAACGACCGCTGCATTGTGAAGAAGTCTATATGGAGCAACCACCTAATTTTGTTGCTCAGGGGGAGTTTAGTAGCCTTGTATGTTGATTACGTAAGTCACTCTATGGTCTGAAACAGTCCTTGCAAGCTTGGCTTGGGAAGTTCCAACACTGTAATTTTATCACTCAGTGTTTTATCGGCATTATGTATCAAATTTAGTATTTCATGAGAAGACCAAGCACATTGAGATTGATTGTCAATTTTGTGAAGTCGAGTGATCAACTTGCAGATATCTCACCAAGCCCCTCATCAGTCCTCGTGTTAATTACATTTGTAACAAGCTAGGTACATGAATTGTATGCACTAGCTTGAGGGGGAGTGTTAGAATAGGAATAGGTTTATACAATCCTATTAAAATAGGAATATGTTTATACAATCCTATTAGAATAGGAATAGGTTTATACAATCCTATTAGAATAGGAATAGTAATAGAAATAGAAATAGGAATACTAAATAGTATCCTACTTGGTAAAGGATTGTATTCTAGGGTCTATAAATAGGGTCTCAATGTAATAATGTTAACAACACAATTCAATAATATTTTTCCCATATATTTCTCACATGTACTAATGTGAGATGTATCCAAAAGAGCAATACACCTAATGTTAGAATAGGAATAGGTTTATACAATCCTATTAAAATAGGAATATGTTTATACAATCCTATTAGAATAGGAATAGGTTTATACAATCCTATTAGAATAGGAATAGTAATAGAAATAGAAATAGGAATACTAAATAGTATCCTACTTGGTAAAGGATTGTATTCTAGGGTCTATAAATAGGGTCTCAATGTAATAATGTTAACAACACAATTCAATAATATTTTTCCCATATATTTCTCACATGGTATCAGAGCAGGACCCGTCTCACCCGATGCTGGGGCCCCCAAAATTAAAATTGTCCACGCACCAGATGCTAAGCACTGGGCGTGAGGTGGGGTGTTAAAGAATGACAAAAGTCCCACATCGGTGGTTAATGAGATGGGTGGACTCCTTATAAGGCTTGGGCAATCCTCCTCCCTTTGAGCTAGCTTTTGGGGTGTGAGTTAGGCCTAAGACCTAATTTAACACCTTCTACAAATTCTCCCAAAACTTAAATACCAAACAGAGAACTATACAACAAATCTAGCAGCAATTATCTAAAGGCGAGGAGATAATTGAGCACCATATATTAACTACCAGAAAAATGAATGAGTACCTTATATTAAAAAAAAACTGAAACAAACATGTGAAGAAATACAGACACACTTGTTTGGCCATAAGCGAAACATGTTGCTTTTGTGCGCTGAAATATAATAGGAATAATTGGTTGCACAGTAACCCGATAAACCTGCAAAGTATTGCATAAGGCACAACCATGATAGAAAACTGGAACCTAACACATTAAGTTGGAAATGTTTTATATGTCAAAGAATGGAAAACACCAATCCTTGCAAAGCAAAAACTCAAGGCAGTCTAAATCATTTTTGACATGATCGCAGGACAAGCACATAAATCAATTGTCTTTGGGATTAGTATTTCCGTTTGTCTGATGAAATAATACCTCATCATTAGTAACATGTTCATCTAGGACAGCATCAAAACAGAACTCATGCTTCTCCACATAAGCTGTCAAATCCACCTTCCATAATGAAACCAAATCTCAGTTCCTCAAAGACTTAAAAGGTCAAATAAGCCACCGAAAAGCATCATCAGCCCTCCATAGCATATGATGCAAGTGTCAAAAATCTGTAACTACAAATCACAAACCTTAAGCTTGGGTTCATGAACAATGAGAGAAGCGTTGTCAGATACAGTGACAATGTCATCCTCTTTCCGAGCAATCTCCTTCTTATTTACAGGTCTTTTACGCACCTATCCATACACAATTGTCAGCTTTAGAAAATTGTGTAGTATATCAGTTTTCGAAATTTAAGGAGCGGTAAAAGAACATTTAGTAGTATTACCATATACTACCTACTTCCCAAATCTAGTCTATATCAGTTTTTTTTTCTATGACCTGGTGACTGGGCCAGCTTTTGCGCACCTCGACTTACTCCGCGGGATACATGTCACCTCCCACCGGCAATATATACTAGATAACTCTGCCCACCAAGGTTAGGACAGATGGGAAGAATAAATCCGCTGAGCTTTTGAGCCTGAGACCAGGGTTCTCAATCACTTCATTGACCACTAGGCCACACCCTTGGCTTCTATATCAGTTCGAATTGCAGAATAAAGAACACATTTTCTTATAAAGAAAGAGGGTCATGAACCGCACATTAAGTTATAGTACATGCAGAACTGACATACCACTACTTTAATCTTTGCCACGTTGTTTTCCCTTGCATTGTTTTCTTTATCAACTGGCGGAAATCCAGCTGCAGCATCAGTGTCTGGAGATGGCGTTTGCTGCTGACTAGTAGGAGCATCAAAGTCACGATCAAAGGAGTAGTTTACTGCCGGCATAAAATGTGATGGCTCAAATGGTTCAGAATTAACATGCTATAATGAAAATAAAGCAAACATTAGTACTCAACAACTCTCTTCTATACGACAGACAGCAGGGGGCAGTTTCACTTAATGACAAGAAATGAAGTCAGATATAACTATAGACCAGTGTTATCAAAGGCGCGCTTTAAGCACGCTTAAGCACTGAAACGAGGCTCAAAATGTGTTGAGCGCTTTGCCTCACTTTATGTGCGCTTTAGTGTCTTCAACAAGGTTCTAAAACAAAGTTTTCCTTGCCAATGAGCATGAAGAAGTGACACTAAACAATTAATATTTCACTTAATTATAATTTTTTGTGTAATTTCTTTTTTGTCATTCATGTTTATTTTTTTTGATAAAAGTTAAAGAGTTTGTCATTCATGTTTATAATGATTAGTCTTGGACTAAACATATATATTTGTGTTTTTTCTCCCTTTGCGCCTTTTTTCATTAAAGTCCACGCTTTATTTGCGCTTTGCGATTAAAGCCTCCACTGACCTTAGAGCCTTTTTGCGCTTTTCGCCTTTGATAACACTGCTATAGACACATCTTATGTTCTTCACTTCCCCAATAAGACCACAACGTACTTACTAGAACAAATTACAAAGTGATTCTAACTAAGAGAGTAATGGCTATAAAAGAAAGAAAACAGCTGCATCACAACCTCTTTAAATTCTGGAAAGCTTCAATCTTTAACAAGCACAATGTTGACTAAATCCATAGTGGTCTTCATTTAAAACACATTATCCAAGAAGGTAATGAAGTTTTGCTGATTGTGCAATGCATGCTCTCACAACCTTTAATAGGCAATAAATGCTTGGAAATTAACACTTATCTGATAAAAAGCATCAAAATACATATTTTCATTTGGTATTTCCTGCTTCATCCTCTCTGTATTTTTGAGCTTGACAACACATTGTCAAATGCATCCAAATGTTAATCTAATTTCATCTTTATATAATAATCCCAGTGATATCCATTACTGCTGAAATATATGATGTTAGAATAGAAATAAGTATTTCCTACTTAGAATAGAAATAAGAATAGGAATAGGAATAGGAATAAGAATAGGAATCCTAGTTGGAAAAGGATTCCAATGTAGTGTCTATAAATAGGGTCTCAATGTAACTATTTAGATACACAATTCAATAATATTTTTCGTATATATTTCTCACATGGTATCAGAGCATTGGTGAGAACAAACAAGTCACCGTATGTCTATGTCAATTTCCGGTGACTGTTGGGTCTGATTTTGTTATACTTTTTTCTTTCTGTGGGTGTTGTGCGAAAACCAACACCACCACGAGGCTCGAAAAGCCCCCGCGACCAAACCCCAGCCAAAACCACCGGAAAACACCACCCCACGCGCTCTCACGCGCCTATCGGAGGTGGCAGTTTCCGGCGAGATCTGTCTCACGCGCCGGCGCGTGAGGGCTTTTCTGATCATATTTTTTTGAGATTTTTTTGACAGTTGGGGTCGTCCAGCCAATCCGACCAGGCCCATACTGTTTTTGACCAGATCCGATCGCCGGAATTAGAGTTCCAGCTATTTCCAGGCAATTTCCGGCGACTTTTCTTCGAGATTTGAATTTTCCGAGACAAATTTAGCATAATGTCTTTTGGGTGTGATGTTTTTGGTTCCAAAAATATGGGGATTGGAAGTTCTAGCCCTATAATCACTTCAGAACTTTTATTGGGAAGTTCAAACTATTTATCTTGGGCTTCCTCGGTTGAGTTGTGGTGCAAGGGTCAAGGTGTCCAAGATCACTTAACGAACAAGGCTTATGAGGTAGATGTAAAGGCAAAGACTAGTGAGGAAGATGCAAAAGCCAAAGCACAATGGGAGAAAGTAGATGCTCAATTATGTAGTCTCCTATGGCGTTCTATTGATTTCAAGTTGATGCCCTTGTTTCGCCCATTCCAGACGTGTTATACAGTTTGGGAAAAGGCTCGTGCTTTATACACTAATGACATATCTCGATTCTATGATGTGATATCTCGATTGACCAACTTAAAGAAACAAGAATCCGATATGTCTACTTACTTAGGACAGGTACAGGCAGTCATGGAGGAATTTGACACATTAATGCCAGTTACTACGAATGTGGAAAAACAACAAGAACACAGACAAACATTGTTTCTAGTTCTTACTCTTGCTGGACTTCCTCCTGATCATGATTCTGTACGTGATCAGATTTTAGCTAGCCCTACAGTTCCTACAATCGATGAATTATTCTCTCGTCTCCTTCGTCTTGCGGCACCTCCCAGTCACAAGGTAGTTTCATCACCCACTGTTGACTCATCTATTCTTGCATCTCAAACCTTTGAAAAGCGTACATATCAATCTATGGAGAATCGGCGAGGAGGAGGGCGTTTTGGGAAACCTCGATCCAAGTGTAGTCATTGTCATAAGCCTGGACACACTCGTGATATATGTTATATTTTGCATGGTCCACCACCCAGTTATGATCCTATTGTTCTAAAGGAATATAATGAGTTCCTTCGAAATCGCGCAAGTAAACAGACATCTCCACCAGTAGCATATGGTGCTCAACCTAATCAACCATCCAATAATGCTCATATTGCTCAGACAGAATATGATGAGTTCCTTCAGTATCGTGCAAATAAGCAAACGTCTCCACAAGTAGTTTCGGTTGCACAACCTGATGTCTCTGTTGCGGGTAATTCTTTTGCTTGTGTGTCGCAATCTAGTACTCTTGGAACATGGGTCATGGACTCTGGGGCTTCTGATCATATCTCTGGTAATAAATCACTTTTATCCGATATTGTTTATTCACAATCTCTTCCAGCTATTACTTTAGCCAATGGGATCCAAACCAAACCAAAAGGGGTTGGAAAAGCCAAACCCCTATCTTCTGTCACCCTAGACTCTGTTCTTTATGTCCCTGGTTCTCCTTTTAATCTAGCATCTGTTAGTCGTTTGACGAAAGCCCTACATTGTAGCATAACTTTTTTCGATGATTTTTTTCTCATGCAGGACCGCAGTACGGGACAGATGATTGGAACAGGACATGAATCACAAGGCCTTTACTATCTTACCTCTTCAAATTCCTTAGCAGCATGCTCCGTTACAGATTCCCCAGATTTAATTCACAAACGTTTGGGACATCCGAGTCTATCCAAACTGCAAAAGATGGTGCCTAGTTTGTCTAGTTTATCCACATTAGATTGTGAGTCGTGTCAACTTGGGAAACACACTCGTGCTACGTTTTCTCGTAGTACTGAGGGTCGTTCAGAGTCTATTTTTTCATTAGTTCATTCTGATATTTGGGGTCCTAGTAGAGTCAGTTCCACCTTAGGATTTCGTTATTTTGTTAGTTTCATTGATGATTATTCAAAATGTACTTGGGTTTTCTTAATGAAAGATCGTTCTGAGTTATTTTCTATTTTCAAAAGTTTCTTTGCTGAAATACAAAATCAGTTTGGTGTTTCTATTCGTACTTTTCGTAGTGATAATGCCTTAGAATACTTATCCTCCCAATTTCGGGAGTTTATGACTCACCAAGGCATTATTCACCAGACTACTTGTCCATACACCCCTCAACAAAATGGTGTAGCTGAAAGAAAAAATCGGCATCTTATTGAGACCGCTCGTACTCTTCTCCTTGAATCCAATGTTCCATTGCGTTTTTGGGGAGATGCAGTTCTTACGTCTTGTTATTTGATAAATAGAATGCCCTCTTCTTCTATTCAGAATCAGGTTCCCCATTCCATACTGTTTCCTCAGTCACATCTCTATCCTATCCCTCCTCGTGTCTTTGGGAGCACATGCTTCGTTCATAACTTAGCCCCAGGAAAAGATAAATTAGCTCCTCGTGCCCTCAAATGTGTCTTTCTTGGTTACTCTCGAGTCCAAAAAGGGTATCGTTGTTATTCACATGATCTTCATCGATACCTTATGTCTGCTGATGTTACATTTTTTGAGTCTCAGCCTTACTATACATCTTCTGATCATCCTGATGTCTCTATGGTCTTACCCATACCTCAGGTTTTACCTGTGCCAACCTTTGTGGAATCTACGGTTACTTCTACATCTCCAGTTGTAGTGCCACCACTACTAACTTATCATCGCCGTCCACGTCCAACCCTAGTCCCAGATGATTCATGTCATGCGCCAGACCCTGCTCCTACTGCGGACTTGCCTCCTCCTAGCCAACCGCTTGCACTTCAAAAAGGTATACGATCCACTCGAAATACTAACCCACATTATACCTTCTTAAGTTATCATCGTCTATCATCACCCCATTATGCATTTGTGTCGTCTTTGTCCTCTATTTCCATTCCTAAGACTACAGGTGAAGCACTTTCTCATTCTGGATGGAGGCAGGCTATGGTTGATGAGATGTCTGCTTTACATAAGAGTGGTACTTGGGAGCTTGTCTCCCTTCCTGCAGGTAAATCTACTGTTGGTTGTCGTTGGGTTTATGCAGTCAAAATTGGTCCAGACGGTCAGGTTGATCGACTTAAGGCTCGCCTTGTTGCCAAAGGGTATACTCAGATATTTGGGCTAGATTATAGTGACACTTTCGCTCCTGTGGCTAAAATTGCATCTGTTCGTCTTTTTCTATCTATGGCTGCCGTTCGTCATTGGCCTCTTCATCAGTTGGACATTAAGAATGCTTTTCTGCATGGTGATCTTGAGGAAGAAGTCTATATGGAGCAACCACCTGGTTTTGTTGCTCAGGGGGAGTCTAGTAGCCTTGTATGTCGATTGCGCAGGTCACTCTATGGTCTAAAACAGTCTCCTCGAGCTTGGTTCGGGAAGTTCAGCACAGTAATTCAGGAGTTTGGCATGACTCGTAGTGGAGCTGATCACTCTGTGTTTTATCGGCATTCTGCACCAAGTCGATGTATCTATTTGGTTGTTTACGTTGATGATATTGTTATCACCGGTAATGATCAAGATGGTATCACCGATTTGAAGCAACATCTCTTTAAGCACTTCCAAACTAAAGACCTTGGCAGATTGAAGTATTTTCTAGGTATTGAGGTTGCTCAGTCTAGATCAGGTATTGTTATTTCTCAGCGCAAGTATGCCTTAGACATTCTTGAGGAGACAGGGATGATGGGATGTAGACCTGTTGACACTCCTATGGATCCGAATGTTAAACTTCTTCCAGGACAGGGGGAGCCACTTAGTAATCCTGAAAGGTATAGACGACTTGTTGGAAAGTTGAATTATCTCACAGTGACTAGACCTGACATCTCTTTTCCTGTGAGTGTTGTAAGTCAGTTTATGACTTCCCCTTGTGATAGTCATTGGGAAGCAGTTGTTCGTATTCTGCGATATATAAAGTCAGCTCCCGGTAAAGGACTACTCTTTGAGGATCAAGGCCATGAGCATATCATTGGATATACAGACGCTGATTGGGCAGGATCACCCTCTGACAGACGTTCGACATCCGGATATTGTGTTTTAGTAGGAGGTAATTTGGTGTCGTGGAAGAGCAAGAAACAGAATGTGGTTGCTCGATCTAGTGCAGAATCAGAATATCGAGCAATGGCGACAGCAACTTGTGAGCTAGTTTGGATCAAACAGTTGCTGGGAGAACTAAAATTTGGCAAAGTTGATAAGATGGAACTTGTGTGTGATAATCAAGCGGCTCTTCATATCGCATCAAATCCAGTGTTTCATGAAAGGACTAAGCACATTGAGATTGACTGTCACTTTGTCAGAGAAAAGATACTCTCGGGAGATATTGTTACGAAATTTGTGAAGTCAAATGATCAGCTTGCAGATATCTTCACCAAGTCCCTCACATGTCCTCGTATTAATTACATCTGTAACAAGCTAGGTACATATGATTTGTATGCACCAGCTTGAGGGGGAGTGTTAGAATAGAAATAAGTATTTCCTACTTAGAATAGAAATAAGAATAGGAATAGGAATAGGAATAAGAATAGGAATCCTAGTTGGAAAAGGATTCCAATGTAGTGTCTATAAATAGGGTCTCAATGTAACTATTTAGATACACAATTCAATAATATTTTTCGTATATATTTCTCACATATGACAACAGTAATATTTTACTGTTAAGTACAATTCCGAAAAATGGACGGAAAGGCTCTAGTGAAAGGATCAATTATTTACTTGAATGAACCCATATTCAGTAACCCTTGTCTATATCCTTCTTCCTTTTCCTCTCTTTCATTGTAATTCTCCTTTTTGGTGGGGGTTGGGGGATGGCGTGTAGGGCCAGGTAAAATGGGAATGACCGGGGAGAAAAGCCGTGGTTTATCATATCCAGCTGAACACCGCACAACTAATAGATGTCCCCAGCTTAACAATGTGCTTTTTATTATTTCATTTTGAAATGCTTAAACAATGTATACTTATAAATTATAATAGAAGTGCCGAAGTCGAATATTTTCATACCTCAGATAAGAGCTCTGTATCATCCATAGAATGCAGATCCAGAAGCCCATCCCCAAAGTCTCCTCTGAACTCAGGAGAATAGTAACCTTCGGATGCTCCAATCCCTCCAGGACTCTGTGTAGTTGGAGTATATGGCTCGGAAGCAGATTCACCATTAAAGTTGAGATTTCTCATTAATTTGAGAAGCCTCTGCTTCTCCTCCATCGATTGCGCTCCATATCCCTTTAAAAAATATTCCAAGCCTCCCCCGTTACTAACAAACTTAATGAGAAACATTTATACAAACTAAGAATGCCACGATAAGGCCACATGGTCATGTTCAAATGAAAGGGAACAAGGGGTGGCAAAGGAAAGTATAAATGCCTGTGATAAACTCCTCAATACGGTGTGACTGACAGTAACCAAACATTTCAAGTAAGGCCAATGGAGTTTACAAGGATGCAATGCTCCTCCTTTGAGTAAAAATAAAAACTGAGAAATTACCTAAACCACAGTGTCCAGGAATGTGGGAAGATAGTCTACAATTTTATCCTCACTAGTCACATTGGTAGTCAGTAGGAGGTATAAACCAACTAGAAGGACCAATGGGACCAGAGTAGAAAATAGAATAACGTCATGCCTCATATAAATCCTCAAAATCCATCTTTGCACCATTGAAGCTAGGATAAATCAAACTAAAACTACAATGAAGTGAATCACAACAAATTTTTCAGTTCCTTACTAAGCTCTAAAGTCTAGATTCAAGTAAAATGTACACATTATCAAAATTAAGATTTACCTGCATAAGCAGGTTAGGAAGGAGACGTTGATCGACACCCATAGACGCCAGGGGAGAGGCCAGATGTTGTAACCCAGCAGACTGAAGCCATCGCACCATGACAGCATCACCCGCGTCACCAGTGGGACCAGCATTGCCTGGGTGATCATACACAACAGTAGCTGCCGGATTGCTCTGCTGCGTGTGGCCACCTATGTGGCGCTGCAATCTCCTTTGAGGAGCCAATTTTAAGATCTTCTATGCAATACTTCAACAACACCACAAAGAAACCAAAACAGAAAAAAAATAATCAAAAGCTGGACTTTTTCCCAATTATTTCAATTCTAACTCCACCTAGAAACAACAACTACATCTCAATCTCAAACTAGTTGGAGTAAGTTATAAGAATCCTCTGAGTCCATTTTTCTCCATTTGGACCGTTTATTTCTAATCAAAGCAACCAAAAAAGTAGGAAAAAAAAACGGGTAGATCATTCTTCAAGAACTAATCTTTGGAAAAAAAGGACACTCACATGAAAGCAAAACGTCCAAATCAAATAAGGGTATTCACGTAACGTGCAAATTCACCAATTTCAGTATGAAACAACCCAGAAAAGCAGTAGATTTCGATCTTAATCTTGAAATGCAATTACTTCAAATCTACCTAACAATACAATGCATGAAAAAATCAACAAACCCACAAAAAATTAAGAGAAAAATAAGATTAAACACATATATAGAATCATAAACATTTATAGAACTGAAATGCAATACCTGAAAAATAAGAGCTGAATTGGATTATCCAAAAGAAGATTTGAGTAAAAATGGATTAAACCCAGAAAGGAAACAACCTAATTTCTCGGATTGGATTTAGAAATTTTCTTGGAAGGGATGATTATGTGAAGCTTCTTTTTCATTTTTTATCATAGTAGAAATAATTAATTTCTTGAAAGAGGGAGTATATCCATCTATTTTGTATATATATTGATGTATTAACTCAATTGGTTTGAAGTTTGATCATTCACATTATTAATTCGCAATTCGCAATTAATGCTTTAATGTTTTCTGAGTGGAGCCCATAGAGCTTGCATTAAACAGCTAAATTTGGTGCTGACAGAGGAAATTTGGTGGAGCTGTTGAAGTACTATAAAATTCCCTTGGATATGTAACAAAAAATAGATATATTTTCATTTAATTTTGTCATGTAAAAGTAAACTTGAAGATTACTCATTAAGGAGTTTGAAATATACTTGCTGTCTAAGTAGGGTGATTAGTGCTTTTTAATCACCTATAAAGCATCAATAGTGCTTAATAAATCTCACCAAATGTCTATATTTGCACCTATCACCTAGCATAATTCTACATATTTGTTTAAATGTATTAAGGGGAATATTTTGATATTTAAAAGAAACTATCATCATTTAATTTATACTTTCATGAATATAAGATATTTATTTTTTGAGTTTCCATCTTTAACCTACTAACTTTTGTAAATAAAAAAAATAGTGAGAATATCATATTAAACAATAGATTAAAAAGAAAATATAAATTTATTTAATTGAGAAAAACAAAATCACAAAATATTCATAGTACCATTACTTTCTCCGTTTCAATTATACATGCGATATGCATTTTTTACTTAGTCCAAGAAAATTATGTTTTTCTTATAGTACTAAATGGTAATAATTTTTTTTAATGCCATGTTATCTTTTTCCTATTATTTTCTATGTCCTCTTTTACGTCTATATTTGTTTTTTTTTTGGGAATTAACAAGACATTTTATTAATCATCAAATAATATTTATAAACTATAGCTAACGAACATTCTGGCTGCTCATTATTCTTTACTTATAGTAGCCTATGACAGCAAAAAAACAATATTTGTATGGAGAACAAACAGTTTTCTATTGCCCCTCACTTTTATGCACATATTTGTCTATATACTATACTATATATATAGTATAAAGTAAGGCTCTTTTGTTTTGGTAACACGCTAGAATACCGTGGCATCTCTCTCACACTAAACCTCATATACCAGTGCTGCAAAACAGACTTTCCGGAGAGCATTTTGTGCTACTTTTGATTTGTTGTTGTAGTACCTTTAGTTCCATTCTTGGTCCAAAGGGAGGATCTGTCATTGTCATCTCAACCATCTCAGTGCTCCTTGCCAAATATGTATTTACATTCAAAAAACAGATGATGCAAGGATTCATTGGAAACAGAATGTACATTTATGAATTTTTTACCAAAATAAGTCATTATTTAAATCAATTCACCAAAATAGTATGTTTTTTGAATTTTTTACAAAACTAGTATAAACGTACTTGACAGTAACGTATTAGGTATTATTTTATTTTTAAAAAAATGACAAAAGGACAAACATTTGACGGAGTAAACAGACTGAAAATGTTAACGTATAAAACCTTACTGTCAATAACGTTTTAAGCTTAAAAAGTAACTTATCCCCAAACTAAAACAAACGATGTCGTTCGCATCACCATGTTATGCATTTCAAAACCCTTATGCAGCCTCCCCATTAGATTCATTGACGTTTCCAACCGTTGCTGCTCTGTGCCTAATCCGCCGCCGTCGATGTTGACGGAAAAACGAGATTCAGGACAACTTTACTATCATAAATCTTTCGAAAAGTATAGAACATAGTTTTTTTTTATGCTTGAGGTATGTTTTATCTTTACATAGTAGAAGAATTGCTTGGATTACATCTTAATATTCCCACAATTTAGCTGACATACAGTTCATAATTCTGTCTATCTAGATTTGATTAGGTGAAATCTAATTTTATAAAGGGTTAGGGGTAATTATTCTCCTTTGTAAATGTCTCATCTTTATCGTTAAAAGGATGAGGTGTGTATTTTTTTTTTATGTAACTCACATATATTATCATTGTTAACTCAGTAATTTCAAAATTTCTTGTCGCTGTCAGCTGCTCTAATTTATATGGAAAAAAATATCAATCTTACCTCTAAAATATTTGATATGAGGCAATTTTGCAAGAGAGACCCTTCTGTTTTTTTTTTTTTTTGTAGCTAATGAGTCATTCAGCTTAGAAGTCTAAATTGTAAGACTTGCATTGTTGCACTATTAAGCTAAGTGTTTCATTAGCTCTATTAGTAAGACTCGACTTCCCTTTTGTAATATGAACAACACAAAACTGTATTTGCTCTCAGGTGACTAGATTGGGTGTAGTAATTTGTAACCACTGCATCAATATGATGTATGTAACCATTACATATCTGTAATTCTCAAATGTAGTCTTAGTTCACTAAAATAGTTGTGCTAAATTATTAGGAGCAGGGTAAAACCCTGTGTGCATCTAAAGGGTAGTGACTACGAGTTTTTCTTGTCATAAAAAATAAATTATGCTAAATTATACTTAGTTCACTAAAAAAGAACTTGGTCAGTGGATATGGATAAAAGGAAGGTCATAAAAAGAAAAAAACTACTCACACAAATTGAGCCCTTGTTGATTGCACTTATCCCCTAAAAGTCCAAGCAGAAATAAATAACAGAGGATACTCTGTCGATAAGCAATACCAAACCCAAAAATGAATAGGAAAATAGCCAGTATGTTTTAGAGGATGTTTGATCCTACTTACCTTGTGTTATAGGATACTGTCTATTTTAATAATTTTATTTTGATTTGCGTGTAATCTTCTCAGACTAGCAATTCAGATTTACATTTAAGTTTACTTTTATGTGTTTTTCGTTTCATAGGTATCTTTTTTATGGCTGATAATAACTCGTATCAACTGGATTTCGATCCACTAGAATTATATATGAAGAGAGGTGATGAAAATTTTGGAACCTTGTAAAGAAACATCTCATTACTCATCTTGTTATTGTTAATCCTACTCCGCGTCCTCACTATCAGTGATAGCAAGCTTAAATGGAAAATTCAACAACATATGAAGCAATGGTAAGTGATTTATATTTCTTTTGATTCAATTAAATAGTAATAGTCATATCTTTCTAAGTCATGCACACACTGTATTTAAGATATAGATACTTTCTGAGGTGCATTTTTGGTACCTTTTGTACAGTGAAGAAAATAATTTGAATACTTCAACATTGCTACAGTGAAAAAGTAATTAGAATACTTTAGCTTCTACTTTCTAAATATAGAACAAGAAAATTTTCACTTGGAGCTTCTGCTTTACTTGTAATGGTTTATCATGAATCAACAAGTCCTCTTATACAAGTGTGTGCTTGTTATTTAACTCATAGTTAAGAGTAATATTGTATTCTATTAATATAATTAATATTTTAACATTATTTCTTCACATAATTGCTCTTTTTTTTAGTTAAAATAATTGAAAATTTATCCTTACTTGCCAGGAAGTAATTATATTTTTATCAGCACGGCAAAAAGAAAAAAATAAAGGCTAAATTTTGAAGGGAAGACTTTCCGTGGAAAGGTTATTTAGAACACAACAATGACAAGAAGCTATATTTTGGAATTTTGATGAAGAAAAAACTGTTATCGAGTATATGTATACATTTGGTTATTGAATCGATTGTGTAATATATTATGTTTATTGTAAATGTTTTAAGCTATGAAAACTGATCCAAATTTCTCTGGCAACTTAATTATGAGGGTGTTGTTTTGCAATTATCAGAAGTTGTAAATGTTTTTTTAAGCTATAAACGCTAGCCGGCCTTTTCTTGCGTTTCTGAATGAAGTGCTAAGTGAAAAATAGACCAGTCAAGTAAGTCCTTGTTGATGCAAAAGCTTTTGTTATTTTTGTCAAATTTGCCACCATTTCGAAACTATGTTTGCCTTCCATGTAGCCTTCAGTTACTATTCCTCTATTTTTCATCTTGAGGATAAAGTAAGATCTTCCTCATGTGGAACAAACATTTTTATTGTAGGAGGCGGAACAATTCTAGTTAAACTTTTCTCAAATGTTCTCTCCTTAATTAGTTCCTTTAAGGACACACTCTTTAGCTTTCTACCTAACATGTTGATGCCACATCAAATTAATTAGTTTTACTTGTACCATTACTATTAATAATACTAATCTTTTTTTTGCTTTCTTATCAGTAGTCATGAGTACTAAATGAGCGAATTATAAAATGAGTTAAAGAAAATTTTCCTATCTTACACCAAACAACAAGAGTGATAACCCAATGAGTTATTTAGCACTGTGTTATTGAATATCATGATATTATAAGTGCTATATCACTTGTCTCATACTATCAAATATCAAAGACAATGCAAATCCATGAATGTATAAATGCAATAATTTTAGGCTGCTAGAGTGTAGTACATCCTTGGCAGCAATTCTTGCTTTTTCTCTAGATATATCTTCAGGCACACTAAGAAGTAAGATAAATTTTGACATAAAGGAGTACAATTTTTTAATAGAAAAGATTGAAATAACAGAGGTTAACATAAAGGGCCGGGTTACTTTTTAAGCTAAAAATGTTATTGGCATTAAAACGTTACTGTCGGTAACGTTTTAAGTCTGTTTACTCCGTCAGTTGCTTGTCCTTTTATCATTTTTTTTTAATAAAATAACACCTAATACGTTATTGTCAAGTACGTTTATACTAGTTTTGTAAAAAAATCAAAAAACATACTATTTTGGTGAATTGATTTAAATAATGACTTATTTTGATAAAAAAATTCTCCATTTATGGTCCACTATTATGCTCCATTTGAATAGAATATCTTTGGGCTTCATTATTCCCTAAAGAACATAGAGGAAGATGAATTTTTAACTCTAGAGTTCAGTTCTGTACATTCAATAATACTTGATCAAATATACAATCATAGTTATAAAGCAAGTAAACATGTTCATTCCACCTGATAAAAAAATAAGTCACAAGTGATCAAATTAAAGTTATAATAAATCACTAATATGTATTACCATCTTTCTAACATATCATAACCCATAATCCAATGAACACTTGAGAATAAAAGTGGAATATTCATTAATATGAGTATAAATATGAATCCTTCCTTAACATATAATATTCTCTATCAAATCTAGACCTTAACTAGCATATTAATTATTAATCACTGAACACATAATCACCAATCAATATAGAATCATTAACACACTTGTTAAAATACAAGCAAGGCAGTAGAATCGTGGAAATCATATCAATCTTGATCTTGCATCTGTATAATCTTTGCATCTTGCCAAAAATCACTAACATTCTCTCAAATATCACAAGTCACGCACACTCTCAACTGTACACACATTCTAAAGAGTCTTAATTTTTCTCATCTAGTTATGACTTGCAGGGGACCTAGGTGTCCAAGGTATTGTACCGTCATGGTACGCGATCCAACCACACACATAATTGTTCGTCCGTAATCTCATCGAACTTGAACCACTCATTATCAGAATAGTAAGTGTATTCTTATTGTATTCACATAACTCAATATTCTAACCTCTCTGGTTACCTCTCAAGATAACACAATAAGTATAGAATAATTACAAGTTCATAGTTCATAACATCAGTGAAATAGACAGTTCAATAATTTACATGCTTATTCATAAAGCAACACTTAATTCAAGTATAAATAAAAACTAACTATATCTTAAGACCAATCAACATGAAACACAACTCACATTACATATCAACAACTAACCAAAGTCTAACTCCAAGTAAATCGTAACCTGCCTCGATCGAAGAACTAGAAGAAAACAAGCTCAATTGTCAGAGTCTTCCATGTTCTCACCACCTCAGAATGCTCAAAATCTAAAACAAACAAAATACAATGACACTTTAATATCATATTTCCTCAAAAAGACGCCTAAAGTGTTCAAACCACTTAATTCTATTGTTTTTATAAGGTCTAATTATTTATTTAAAGGTTATTTCATCAAACTGGAGGTTTCCATGATCATACAAATCTCACTTATGGAGTTTCGACCCCATAAACCTCTCTTGAGCAATTCATATGATCAAAGAACCCCTTCCCTTTTTTTTTTTTTGGGGGGGGGGGGGGGGGGGGGGTCCCAGGTTTCCCAATATCATAGATAAATCTAGGTTCATAATTCTATGCTTAGAGATATAATTTAATGATTTAGAAACAAAATTCATGCATAGTTTTATCTCCCCATATGTTGTCCCACCAAAGTAATTAATAGCCCTAGGGTTCAACCCCGGGGCAGACCTA